TATATATATATATATATAATTTTTCTCGTTCATTCTGTTATCTTGTCATTGTTAACACAAATGATATTTCTCGTACGATAGCGTGTATATTTCTTTTTCCAGGCAGAATGAAAAGCACAACTGCTTTATCTAACAATTCCACATGGGACATAGACTTATCCTCCAAAATGACGAGGAAAATATGAAAACTCCAGATCATAGTGTTGTCGTTACCGAGCACCGGTATTGATCACACATAAATAGATGGACAAATTTTTCCACGACAATATATTTACAATTTTTTGTTCGTATATTTTGCAATGTACGATTCCAAAGTTATCTGTCGCGTTTTTATAACTCGAGCAACAATTTAGATTTTGTCGAGTGAAGGCACCGTTACACATGCACCACATGAAATTATTTTACGTTGCAAAATGCAATATTACGTGAATTGTAATATTATGTAATTGTGATTGGAGATTGATCATCGGAACAAAGCACGTAACGAAGAAAACGTATTCATATTAAATACGTAGTTTTTAAATCATTTTAAATCAAAAAGGGGGTAACGTATAAATAACATCTTGTAACGTTTTTTATAATCGAAAAGTCGATCAAGAGGAAGAATGTCATGTATGGGTATATTATACAATTAGCATTAAGATTAAAATGAATGGCAATGAATTATCGCTCTCAAAATAAACGTGTAAATATACAAATATGTACAGATTTTCAAACGTATTTCAAAAAACGTTTACTGGAAGTCTGTTTATATATTAATAGTTAAAAATATCATGTAATAAAGAAAAAAAGATATTTGTTCCCAACAAAAACACGAGAGTGATATTGTATATGAGTTTTAACTTTCTAATGATGATGTACAAAAAAGGAAAATATCGTATCACGAATAAATTATTATTAAATTTGATTTATATGTACGCGCATTTTATTGAATTAACAAGATCACCAAATGATATTTTCGAATTGAATGTTATATTTTATAATGTTACTCTGTCAAGAATATGCGATTGTTACCCGACGTACTTCCTCCTGTTCCTTTTTTTTTTTTTTTTTTTCATTATTACCAAACGTCTTTCATTTTAGTTACTAACTCTTTATTTTTCTTTTCCGTTTCTTCTCATCCCAATTTTTCCTTTTCTTCATTTTGCTACATTTCTCCTTGTTGCATAAACTTACAAATAAAGCATGGTATTTTAGTTTATGCTTGTTACTTCAATAGTACTGAAAAACCATAGTTACAGGATGATTGTCTTTGTACCTCCTTTTTCTAAAATACTTTGTACAGTTTGCGAGACTTCGAATTAAGGTGTTCTTTGAATATTAAATTAAAAAAAGATGAATTTGTAAGAGTAAAAATTGAAAGTATGAAGAAACTCCTTCGTCGCACATTACCACGATTCGAAGTCGACCAAGATCAAATTATAATATGTAATAACATTAAATCGTAAGTCAATGAACAAAATTTGTTTTTTTCATATACAATCGAATAAGAATAATTTCGCAGAATTAGTTCGTAATCGAAGAATTTACTTGTTGACAGAAGTGTACAAACTTATTCGTAAAAATAAAAAATATCTTCTATTTATTTAGAATTTAAATTATTTACAACCCAGAGTTAATCAGCGCAATTACCTGCTAGAAATATCCTGTAACAGTAAATCAGTCTTCACGCACGCTTAATGTAATGGTCAACATAATCGATTATGTTGACTTTATTAATCTATAAATATGGATTTAAATTAATTGAATGTGATTTACATATACGCGACACAATTTATCTAACATCTGTAACGCATTTTATGTAATTGCGTGGATATTTTATCGTGCAAGATAACCGATAAACCGTAAGCTCTTCTAATGTTTTTGCTGCCTCTCATATAGATAAATCTTCATGATTCGTTAAAATAATTAACTTATACTTAAAAATAATATCAACGGTTAATGATTTATTGTCGAAAGAAAAAGAAAAAAGAAAAAAAATAATACGCTTTTATTCGAGACATTCATTGTACTATCAATCTCGTTTCTGCATAAGAGAAAAACGATTTACATTGATTTTGTATAAAGAAAGTTAACATTACAACATTTGTCACTCATAAAAATCATTCACAAAATCCTTCGAAAGAATAAATCCAAATTTCAAATCCTATTCTCAATTCACTAACTTCTACTTAGTATAAAGATAGGCACCCCCTTTTGTCATGCTACAAAAGATCCACTACATGATTTTGTGGTATGACTACACTACGTTGGTATACTTCCAACTTACATCGGAGAACAAAATAGAATATCATAATATAATTTCCATTCAATAAAAATGTCTCAGACAATCTGTGCAAAAACGTAGAAACATATGATATAAATGAGACTTATACATATTAAATAGTTTTTAATAATATGTATTTACTAACTGTATAATGTAATAATAAATACGAAATCCTGCGTATATTCGTCGTTATAGCAACAACTAGCTATATTCCATCGCAATAATTAATAAATTAAATATTTATATATTTATATATTTATATATGTTAGTAAAGTTTTATCTATTAATTTAAAAACCTATATATTACATTTAATTCAAATAACACTGGGATTATGAAAAATATAATGGTACTTTTGTGCAATAAAGCCTCGCGCATGTATTCGATTTTTTTTTTTTCTTAGTTCAGCGTTCTCTTACGTGTGCCGTTGTCACTTTCCTCAATCCCGAGTAATATATAATTTGTACACTTAAGTATATTCTATGAAAGAAATTTACAAATTACTTTTATACAATTTCGCAATTCTAATCATATTAGAATTATATTGGAAATAATAGCTCTCGTTAGATTCAGATACATTCTTCCACGTACGGGATTTAATTTTCTCAACTTGAGTCGATTCATTTTATGAAAACAAACTACTTTTATACAATTGAAATTTTTAGAAATTTATAGACCACAACATTGAATTATTTGGAATATTCCAAAAGAAAGAAGGTATCGAACATTTCCTCACCGTTCTATTCGAATTTATTATAATATTAATTTTCCCATTTTAATAACTTCCAGCCTGAGCGAAGAAGATAGTTTAAAATACCAAAACGATGCCAAAAGACTATAGACAATTTTCTATAGTTTTGAGCATATAAAAAACAACAAAAAACATATAAAAAGATCTCGACCAATGTCCTTCGAGAGGATGCCTTCGTGTTTAAGATTAAATTATACGAATGGACGGGTCATAGTATAAGAAGAAGAAAACGCATTGTGTACCGTTTTGCTTACGAAACGGATTAGATGACATCGATTACGTACAGCGAAATGAAAAAATCGATCGATCGAACCACCCTCATTACAGATTTGTCTGCAATAGAAATTAGGAGTGGCATGTATTACCTGTGGTAATATGTGTGTGCGCGTGCATGCCTATTCTAGGTATCAAACAGCACACACACACACACACACATATATATGTATAGATAGTTTCTTATTATCGATCATGTATAATCCAATGTCACGGATTTAATCCACCTGGCCTTTTACGATTTCGCCTATTTCTCTCTAATAAAAATGACAAATCCAAAGGATCCTTTTTGTTCGGCATTTTTTGTAATAGAGCGATTAAAATATTGTTCAATCTTCTTCTTTGTTCTTCTCTCTAAAGGTAATTAATGTAACACGTGTTAATATAATATATTAATAACCAAATACGAGAATTACCACTGAACATGATACTGATTGATAACATTACCTGAGCATACGATGTTGTAGGTGTAACAATGGATAACATTTCATTCGATTTTCGTCTACTTTTACTCATAGAAGATTTTTGTTGATCCTTGATGTGCGTTTTTGTATTTTCACTTGATTCGGACTTGTGATTATTATCAATATCTTGATTGTTACCCTTCTTTTTCTCTTTGTTCATTTTACCTCCAATTTGAATTCCTTCAAGACTATGCGGCTGTATATAATTTTTAAAAATTTTAGTTTCCACACTCGGCACTTTTTCTACTTGTATTAATTTGATACTTACCAAATATGTACGATAATGCTTAATGCGTTGTGGGAACGTTTCGAATGCATAAGGTTTTGTGCAAACCTGATGTCTAGCTCTAGCAACTTTTGTAAATAATCGTGCTGCACGATCAACGCGATACTCGCAAACATAAGTATGCTCCGGTGTAGAACCAACTGGCCGTCCTTGATTAAGGATAATAAAATATTTTTGAAGGTATTTCTAGATTAAAATATTTTTAATATAGAATTAAATAAGAAAGAATTATTACCTTTACAATACGTATGAGGGTCGAGAACCCAACAGCGCTCAGCAACCAAATCGCATGGAACGGCTTCATAAAGTGGTGCACATACGACTTCATTCTCATAGAACTTCCTGGTTGGTTCGTGATACGTTTCGTGTGGTCTCAAATAATGATGACCAAATACGAATCTTTCACCTCTATC